GGATAAGTTTTCTGCAAGTGGAAGCATCATTAAAGACACATGACTAACTGAAAAAACATATTATTACGTATTCTGAAATGAAAGTGAATTTGAGTCAACAGTGACCCTCTGCATTCTCTTCATACTCATTTACTCACAGATCTATTGATTTATCTTTCCTAATTTTGCTTGTGTTAATCAAATTATTTGCATCCTCTTGCCACCATCATAATTCATGGCATAATAATCTAATTGTTGGAAGTGTAGCTAGGCAACACTCCATTCTGCCAACATCACTGTTATAACCAACTATCTCACATCTTTTTTTATTAAGAGACCTAGTCCAGTAGTTGATTTTACTGCTAACTCACTGTAAGTATATTTGAGACTTGGATTCAAAAGTATAATTCTTACTTGGCACTCCAATTTCACTGACTTCGTTCCTTTAAGTTCCCCTATTCCCAAGTCCTTTGCCATTTGGAAAGCCAGTTATTAAACACCTTCATTTCCTTCAGAGTTTTGAGTCCTGACACTGAATGGTACTCCCTAGAAGGCAACCTAGGAATCTGCTTCTTGCCTGCCTTCTCTGAACAATTTGTTTTTTAGTATCTGAATTCTCACTGTTTGTTAGGTAAACCTCCAGTGATTGTCTACCTTACTTCAGAGGGTTTGCTAAATCTCTTAAAATCCTGGTCACCTTGAGTCTGGCCTTTCCTATTTCTGGGTTTACGTGGGTCTGCAAAATTGAAGATCTGAACCAGATTTGTAGGTTAAGGAATTCTGATTTATCATTCACTCAGCAATTTTCTTCTTGGAAATTGACTTTGTTTTTATTTTATTTTATTTTTTAAAAATATGGAACGCTTCACGAATTTGCGTGTCATCCTTGTGCAGGGGCCATACTAATCTTCTCTGTATCGCTCCAATTTTAGTATATGTGCTGCCGAAGCGAGCACTTGACTTTATTTTTTAAACAGTGATTTAATTTACATGGAGTGAAATGTACCAATCTTAAAAGTTAGACTTTTAGAAGTTTTGGCAAATGCTTACACCTGTGTAGTAACTCACACCTCTATCAAGATGTAGAACAATGTCCTACAGGTATTTCCCTCTAGCCCTCAGCATAATTCTCAACTGTGTGGCTCCCCCAGGCAATCATAGTTAGATTTCCTCTATTTTCTTCTAGTCTGTGATTTGTCTCTACATTTTCCTAATATATTTTTCTTTGGCTAAGTGGAAGATTTTAATTTTGGTAAAGTCAAATTTTTTCTATTATAAGAGTGTTTTTTTGTGCCCTAAGAAATCTTTGCCTACTCCAAGATCAGAGAGCTATTTTTTCTTCTAAATGATACATTTATTCTAATAGCTTTAAAGTTTATAGCTTTTATGTTTCAGTGTAACTGAAAAAAAATGGTTTTGTCTGTTCTAGAACTTTATATAAGGGGATTTATACAATAAATACTCTTTTGTCTCTTTTTTATATGAAGGATGCAAAATACAACTCTGTGCTTTTGAAAATAAGAACTTACATTTATTTATTCATAAAAATCTTCTTTCAAAAACTCTTATAACTGATAGTACTGACAGAATTCAGGCCAGCCTTCTAGATAAAATATAGTTTCATTTGAAAGCATTTTGAAGAGTTTGAAACAAGTTGAAGTTCAAATATGTAATATTGTAACAGAGGCTAACTGTTTTAACACTGGATATATCAAAACTTAACACTTCATAATAACATTTGAGATAATTAGTTTGATAACTGGTAAAAAGAATTATTTAACCACATATAATTATAATTAAACATACATGTTTATTAATCTCCTGCCATGTATAAGAAGATATTCCAGGTCCCTGGAAAAAGGAACTTTCTGGGAACACAATGAGAAATAAAGAGGATTAAGTCATAGTCAAGTTTACGATAACTACATATTCATAAAATTAGAGTAATACAAAATACAGTATGGTAAATACCAAATGAAAGGAAAGGGATAATTTTGTGGGAGTTTATATGGTGGGTGCAACTATGCATAAGCACAGCGCCTGGCAAACACAATGATGCCAATAGGTATCTGTTCTTTTCCTTTTTCTCTTTTGGTTAAAAAAATATCTTGTGGGAGCAAGGGAGGCCTTAAAACATATTTTGGTGGATTAAGAAATGGCAGTAGACTTACAGTTAGTGTCATCCTATTGAGGGCTTTAAATAATTTTTGTTTTATCTGTTAAGGAGTGGGATCTATTTAGGTGTTGATTTGCTTATCTATCTATCTATCTATCTATCTATCTATCTATCTATCTATCTATCTATCTATCTATTTATATTTATGTTTACTAGGCTCTCCTCTACCCCAAGTCCCCCCCACAAACCCCATTACAGTCACTGTCCATCAGCATAGTAAGATGTTGTAGAATCACTACTTGTCTTTTATTTGCTTTTTTAGCTAACTTGTATTAAGTGATCTAATTTTAGGAAATCAGTTTTTCTATAGTGTATAGAATAGACATTAAAGGCCGTTTAAATTTCCAAATATCGCGGATATGAGCAGGTTGAGAATTAAAGCCCTAAATAGTAACATCCTCCCCAAAATCTATGAACATTGTTGGCATTTATCATTCTTTGTAACTTCTGCCATCAAGAATTAACACCTAATGGAAGAAAATGATTGGGTTTAATCTATTCAAAGCTGCTATTCTTTTTTATTGATGAATTCTATTTTTTACCACATCATAAATTCTATGACTATCCCATAATTTTCTTATCCATTCCCCTGTTGATATACTTTGAGTTGTTTTCAGTTTTTACCAATTGTAAATAAAGCTGGCATAAACATTTATGTATAGCATTTTTTTTGTGCATCTATGTTTCTATTCTCTTGGTGACTATCTATGAATAGAATTGTTGAATCATACTGTAACTATATAATTAACATAAAGAAACTGCTAAACCATTTCCCAAAGTAGTTTTGCCATTTTATACTCCCACCAGTAATGTAGGAGAGTTCTGTTCTCTTTATAGCCTAGCCAATATAAGGTCCTGTTAGTATTTTTAATTTTAGCCGTGTTTGTGGGTGTAAAATGGCACTTATTGTTTTAACTTGCATTTCGCTGATGACCAATGATGCTGAATACTTTTTTATGTAGTCATTGACCATTTATATGTCTTTCTTTTCAAGTGTCTACTCAAAATTTTTACCCATTAAACAAAATTGTTTTTATCATAGAGTCGTAGGATATTTTTATATAATCTAATATTTGTATATGTCAACAATATTTTCAGATATGTTTATTAATAGTATTTTCTTCTAGTCTGTGATTTGTCTCTACATTTCCTAATATATTTTTCTTTGGCTAAGTGGAAGATTTTAATTTTGGTAAAGTCAATTTTTTTTTTCTATTATAAGAGTGTTTTTTTGTGTCCTAAGAAATCTTTGCCTACTCCAAGATCAGAGAGCTGTTTTTTCTTCTAAATGATACATTTTATTCTAATAGCTTTAAAGTTTATAGCTTTTATATTTCAGTGTAACTTGAATTAATTTTTGTGTTTGCAGTGTGAGGTAAGAGTTGAAGTTTGTTTCTTCCTCATTGATATCTAGTTATTGGGAATTGACTTTTGATACCAAAACCTAGAATCCAATAACCTAAAACTCTGTTCGATAGTTACATTGTGCTATAAAGTTGTTTGACTAGTCAATACGTATTTTTGCTTGAGACATAGTTATCTTGTTGGTAAGCCCATTGCCAAGACTAAAAGTTAAAAATCCACTGATTCTTGTTGAAGTTAATGAGTAAAACGGCTGCTAAAGAACTTGTCCAGTAGACTAAAAAGACAGAAAACTCATGCAAGACATTCTTTTTCCATATCCCTTCTGAGTAAAGGAACAGCAACAAAATCCGATGGGATCCTGTGCAGTTTCACGATGTCTTTAGCTGCTCAGTTTATATCTGCTGCCTAGTACATCTTTTCTATTAACATGTAGAAGCAGCTCCTTATTCATGTAAGTATGTGAGTTCCAAAACGTAAAGTAGAATGCTATAGAACTCATCACTATTTGTTTGCAATAGAAACACAGTCAAAACTGGTTAAGCAAAAAAAAAGGAATTAGGTTTAGATTATGGGGAGAAGTCGAAGGGCTGAGTCTGGTTAAGCAAAATGTGTATTGAAATTTTTCCTTATGTAAAAAAATTTTTAAGGAAGGTAAAAAATTCTGGTAATTTTTTTTAACAGTGGAAGTGGTCAACTGCTCTCATTCTAAACTATTTGTAAATGTTAATACTATATGGAGACTTGAAAATACATGCTGTCAGTCAAGGGCAGGGCAAATTACTTAAATAAAATTAAGATATTTGCCCCACAGTAATAACAAAGTTTGCATCAGTTTTTCAGAGAATTGTCTGCAATTAAAAAAGAAAAGAACCTGGATTTGTAAACTCGGATTGTCAGTATATTGTCTCCACATTCGAATTACAGTCTAAGAATAAGTTTGTTAAATTTGATTTTATTTATTAGGATTTTTATAAAGAACAGGAAAACAGAGTAGAGGGACAGTGCTGTGTCAATGACCTCCGGGGTCCCGGCGGGACTCAGACGCTCGCTCCTCCTCTGAGGTTATTACCATCCTTGTTTGTTTTGTCACTCAGTCGCACCACTTGTCTCCCCGCTGCCTGCAAAAAGCTGAGCTGGTTGAGGAAGCAGAGACTGACTGACTGTCTTTCCAACGGCGTTTTGGTCTGTGGCATTTGCTGCTCCTCCGAGAGCAGGGCCGGGGCTGCGCGGGGCGGCTGCTTCTCCGGGAGCGCACTAATGCGGGGGCGGCCCCCGGTGGCTGCCCGCAGCCCCTGTCTGTTCCTTTCCGTTGTGTCTGGTCCTCATTTCACCGGAAAACGCAGTAGCAGTCGCCGCATATAGACTTTTTCCTCTTTCCCTCTCCCCCTCTTCCCCCTCCCTAGACCTCGCTGGGCTTTGACGTCATGTGTGCTCCTTTCGGTTGCCATAGCAACCCCATTCCCCAAGCCCTCTGTCCGTCTCCTCTGGTAGGTTCCACAATGGTACAGGCAGCATCGCGCTGCACAATGGTTTCCAGGCAGTGAAAGAGGGTGATTCAGCAGCCACTCTTCTTCTTCTTCTTCTTTTTTTTGTTTTTAAAAAACCTCCCCTTCTCTTTTTTATTTTTATGGGGTTGGATGGTGCTTGTTATTTGCTTACCTTTTTTTTTTCTTTTTTCATTTTTACAATTTTCCTTTTTTCTCCTCACCCCTCAATTCCTAGGGGTTTGAGTGACTTTAAGATTGGGTTTTCTTGGGAAACATCTGCCAATCAGTCATTGCAGACAATTTGCCCACCTCCAAAGAATCTACTTATTAGAGTTTGGAATGTGGTTAATGAGAAACAAGTAGGGAGGATTTCTGGGGCAAACACTGCTGGATCAGGATCGTAGTTCTCAAGCACGGAATGGTAGGTAGCTCTTTGCTCATTCTGGTTCTAACCTGTTTTTTTGGAGGGTGGGGTAATAATGTCTATTGATTGCTTCTGGTGCGGCGGGAGAGCAAGCTTGGGAGAGAGGGGGAGAGAGGGGATGGAAAGCAGGTTAATGAAGTGAACTACGTCTGAGGCAAGAAGCCACCAGCCTTTCCTCCCGTGCAAAGCATCTCTCCCCAGACTTGGGCGTGTTAAAACCTTTCTGTTTGGAATGAGGGCTGGCAGAGGGTGGGAGGGAGTGTTCTTATTGTGACCAGGGGTTTTTAGACCAATGCAGAGCTACAGAAGGGGAGGAAAAACAGAGAGGGGAAGAGAACGGCCGTTCTTGTTGGAAGCGCTGGCCTCAGTCCTGTATCTAAGAAATGCTATGGGTTCTATAAAACATTAAAAAAAATCAGGTCTTTAAGTATGCATCTATGTTTACTTCCTGAGAGGTGTAACTTAAATAAATAATTTAGGATATATTTAAATATTTTAGGAGGGATTGATATTTATATATTTTGCAATATATATGGTATATATGCAAAACTAATGGTATTAGTCTTGTGGAAACACTCTGGGCTAAATTTGGGATGTGGAGAGGAACACCGAACAGGGATCAGGTTAGAGGTAAGACAGACATTAGCACTGCAGTCACATAGGTAAGGGGTCCCTTTAAGAAAGTGATCTCCTAGTCACAGCAAGCAGCAATTTTTTTTTTAAATTTATGGCATGGTTCCCAGGTATTCTGTATTGGGATACTGTGTCCCCTAGAAATGTCAGAGCTCTTTTGAGAAAAAAATATGTATCATCAGAATTGAGCATGGCAATATATTTATCAGAATTTATGCATTTGTGCCTGCAGCAAAATAAATGTGATTTATTGGAAACTCTTCAAGTAAATCAAGGTTAGAGACATTTCAAGAAAATTATATATATATATTTTTATTCTCCTCTACATTTAAATCTAGAGACAGTCTCTGTTTTTACCCCATTAAAGACATAACTTCCCAGGGTATTGCAGTTTAGCCGCAGAAAAAGAATGGCTTATCCCATGGCAGTCAGCTCTGAAATAATCACAAGGTTGTTCACATGGGCTGTCTTTGCTGCAGAGTCTGACAGAGTCTGTACAGCAGCCCTGCTTGCGTCTGGTGTGTTGATGATAACTTTTATGAACAAACCTGAAAGAGGCAAGCTAAGTCATATGGGACAGGCTGCAGTTCAGACTGAAATAAAATGGATATAAGTGCACCAGGCATTGCCAGCCCCAAGGTCCAATTTCTCCTTCTGTCTCTACTCTGCTAGTTGTTGGACCCTGAAAGATCACACAGAATGCTAATCAGCATATTATGAATGGTTGCAGGAATGGCCATTTCTCTCAGAGAGGCTTCTGTAAATTTTCTACCTTAGGTGAGCATATGTATTTTAAGTATAGATAGCGATGCTCATGAATGGGCTCACAGGCTTCTGACTCCACTTTGGACCATTGGATTTTAGGGGCTAGGCAGTTTGGCTGTAGCAGTTTTGCTGCCTCTGGTATGTATTCCCTCCTCTATCTTGAAATCTCTTTCTTGAAATTGACAAAATTAGGTTATTTTATCACACAGAGTGAACTGGGGTTTCTCTTCCCCACAATGGAACTAGAAAATTAGATGACCAAGGTGGTATGACCTTAGATGTTTAAAATCTTCATGTTTCCTCATTTGCAATTCACTCCCTCCTGTTGTTGCAAAGTCTCTTTAATTTGATGGGCTCCTGGTGTTACAGAATCTCTGCAGTTTCAGTACAAAGGTTCTTGATGATGAGGCGGTAAGAAATTAAATGTAGAGTGGAAAAATCAGCTGCCTCCAGCTTCCTGCTCGCTCGCCCCAGAACAGCATCTGCTGTTGGGAGGAGTGTGTTTGCTGTGCTGGAAGAGGATGTTTATGAACAGATCCCAGGGGGACCGCATGTGTTTTTGCTGTCATTGTCTGGTACGTCTGCAGCTACTAGTATTTAATGGTTTCATGGTACGTGGTCAGTATTTTTCAAGGTTAGAATGAACTGAGAATTGGTTGTGGATGCTATAAAATATGTGTATATTTTTAAATTACAGGCAAATTCATAGGCTTTCCCTTGTAAGTGTATCCTATAGGAATATCTTAAGCAAAAGGTGTCTGCCCAACCTAAGTAATATGAAAAAGCCTCCCATATTTAATATTTTTTTAAAACTTTATTGTGGCTTTATCTAAGTGATCTTTTTTTTTTGGATGTAATTTTAATGAGAAAGTCTTTTAACACCGTTGATAGAGACAAATTGAGGGTTTTCTTATTTGTTAAATATGGGGGGCAACTTCTCTCCCTGCTCTAGTTCTTGCTTCAGGTTACATTTGTAGCTAAAAGACTTTGAATGGAATTGTTGTGTTATGATCGTTTAGTTAGTTGCCTATAAGAATAATGTACTCAAAGCAAGAGAGACTTCTTTCAATTAGTATAAGAAGTAAACAAATTGACATTAAATTCTTTCTCCATTGCTACTATTTCCTCTTGCAGTGTCTTTTAAGATTTTTGTTGGACAATGCAACACTTATGCAAAAAGAGTCATAGAGTGCCTAGTAATGACATGAAAGAAGTACAGTGCTGTATTTGCTGCAGTTCCTATTATATATTCATCTCTTACATCTTCTTCTGAGGATCAAAGACTTGTGGAAAAACTTGGGCCCATAGACTACTTCAGTAAAGAAGAGAACCTATTTGTTTCTTTAGCACATTTGTTATATTTATTGTATTACATAAGTCTGAGATGAAATACTGCTGCTGAATCAGATAGAACATCATGCTGTATATTGATCATTTGAAAGAGAAAAATGTAATTTAGAATAGGATCTTGGGTTTTCAGAAACTTACTCATCTGTACTTATTTTCAGGGCAAAGTAAGATTTTGGCTACAGATTCTTCAGTTTGAGTACATTTTATCCTCAAGGAAAAATCAAGGCAAAGGAGAGAGAGTGAAAAATCTGTATGTTTTAGGTACTATGGTCCCCGGCCTCCCAATTTAATGGAAGGGAGTTTAATTTCTTATTGTGAATCTTGGTAGGACTCTAAATGGAGGCCTTAGGTGATACTGAAAATCTTTAAATCAAAATAAACATTTCTGGTTTGAAAAGTGGACATGTAATTGAGTGAAAATCTTTAAATCAAAGTAAATATTTTTGGTTTGAAAAGTGGACCTCAAATTTATACTTTTTCTTTTTTGGTAAAGCATTTTCTAGTTGAATTGACATTTTGGATCCATAACAAAACATTATGGCCTTTTTTTTGCTGTTCTTATCCCTGAGATGTAAAACCCATAGTCTTATAGAACTAGTGCTCCTAGGAATGAAAATTAAGATTTTGAAAAGAAAAAGAAATGACTGAAGGTCACCTAGAAGCATTTTTAACCCATAGTTATTCTAAAAGCTATATGTTGTGCAGGTATAAAATGAAATTCCCCTATAGAACAATCAGGCATTTGCAGAGTGGTCTACACAAGAATAAACAGGAATTTTGTTACATTGTGTGTGTTAGAAAGTAGGAAAAAAAGAAAACCACACAACCCAGCAGTGACTTAAAAGTATTAGAAATTCCTCCTGGTGACTTGCCTCCATAGAAGTAAAACTGCCTCCCAGTTTGTAGATGTTAACTGGCCTGAATGCTCCATATGCATCCTAAAAATGAGTTTCTTAAAGTAATTATTCTCTTTTATACATTGGAAATAGGATCTGAAAGCATTTAGTGAAGTAAAAATCCTAGGCCTGTTTATTTGGTAATGTTTATTCAGTGTCTCTATTTCCTCTGTCCTAGCATTTATTACACAGTCCCAATTGCCTATTCCTGTGTTTTCTATGCTATCTACTAAATTATAATCTCTGCCAGGGACTGTGTCTGTTGGCACATAGTAAGAACACATAAATATTCCTTGGATGAATGTCCCCCAGGTACAGAGTTCTCTGCTAAGTGCTGTGGTTTGGAAGAGTTTGGGAAACTGTAACACAAAGTTTCTGCCATTTGGGAGCTTAAAGATGGTATTTGATCAAAGCACCATGTTAGGGATTTGACAATAAATGTAATAGGAATTCAGAAAAGAAAGAAATTCACCTCTTCTGTAATGGTGGTAGGTAACACTGTAGGCCACATTGGGAAGGCTGGGAAACAGGAGGGAATGGAGGAGGAATTCCTAGCAGTAGTTATTTGAAAAGGTCTCTTATTTGGGGCAGAGAGGAGGTTTGTTTTGTATGGTGGGCATATTTTCCAAACTAGAAACCAAGATTTACAGTTTGATAATAACAGAACCATGGAAACCTACATCGCCCTGGAGAATTTGGTACAATGTAATATTGAACAGTGATGGTAACAGACTGAAGTTACAGACCTACTTTGCAGCCAGAGCAGATTATGGAAAAATGTACATACAAGTCTCTCCAGCATAGACCAATTTCATTTTAGTTTTAATTTCACATACCTCAGAATTTTCCAAACTTCTCTTGTAACCATTGTTCCAATGAAATCTTATATAAAGGAAGAATATCCAAACATGTAACAGCTGAGTATCACAAAACCGAATCCAATCACAAAACTAAATATCATAACAACCAAAGTAACAATTGCTAGTTGGACTTATGCTCAGATTTTAAAAACATCTATCTACTCTGGTGTTGGTTAACACCAAAGTTCTTTTGTTTGCAATAATTTGAACAGAATGAATCACTTTGAGAAGTTTTATTCTTTCCCCCTGAGTCCCATCTCTCATCACTAATTGTCTTTTTCAATCTTTTTGTTTTCTAAATGCAGGTAAAATTCCCATTTAAATGTTAAAATTAAACTCATTCTCTGTTTTTGCTTTGATTTTAGGCTAGTGTGAGAAACACCAACGGCAGGACCATCTCAGATCTTCGTTATGGTAATTCATGCAAAAAGCTGTTGAATTAGGCATATTTCCTATAGATGAGAAACCATACAAGCAGTGGTAAGTTGCAAATTTGAATATGTTCCTTAGCAGAGAACATGTGTTCTATATAACCAATTTAAATATTGCATATAATTTAGTGTGTGGATCTGAAGAAATGCTGTTTCAAATAATGTCAGCTAAAGAAGTGAAAATCAGTAGGACAGAATGTTTTAACTGATGGTGTAGTACTATTAATATTACATATAGTAGTATGAGATCTTGAGGTGCAGAGGGGCATCATACAACACCAAGATGCTACCACCCTGGATACTAGCCTGTGTACGATGACTGCAACAAAGAATTCTATATAGTTGAGCAATAGTTTAGTAGCAGTGTTTTTCAGTGGCTTTTATTATTTGCAAACATAATCCTGTATTTTACCAATTCATCCCATTTAGCAGAAGAATTGGTTCTTAGCTAAATTATAATGCTCAATTCCTTCAGGAACATACACATACACACTTATGTATATTCAATATAAATATATAGGAGTATATATAGGAATATATATATGTATATATATATATGTGTGTATATATATATATATATAGTACTTAGATCTTAGATCTTTAGAATACGGGAAAAGAAATCATGTCATGATTTTATAAAGCTCAACTTATAGACATTTTACCCTACAATTTCTTTTGTAATAAAACCAAATTTAAAATAGATCCAGTTCTCTGCTAGGTGAAATAATACTAAAGACTTTTTAATATTTTATAAAAATATCAGCACACACAGGCAGAATATCTTTTTTAATCAAAGACTTGATGCTTCACAGTCACTGAGGTCAATAATCAATAGACTCCAGTAGAGATGAGCCCATTATAACCTGTGAAATAACATCTTTGAAAAATAGAGTATGACAGTAGTACTTGTAAGAGTCCAAAAGAAGCTGTTTTAAACTAGTGATAATATCTCTCTTTCATTTGCTTAGTGGCTTATATAACTCAGTAGGTGGGCTGCCTTGTTAACTAATGCATAATTGGTAACTGCAGAAGACTGATGAAATTACACGTATTTCATGTCATGATTTTTGTTACAGTTTGGTTGCAGTTATATTGAAAAAGCAGAAAAAATTGTCATCACTATGCTGTGCTTAGTTAACTTACATTAAATGAGTCTTTGTTATAAAGGGAAATCATATGTAATTGCCAATAGTCAATAATTTTGATCTAAATTAAGAGTACTAATCTTATATGGCTGAACTTAATATTCTATATTATGTGTCACTCCCAGTGATATAGAAGACATATAGTATATTGCCCTATCTTAAACAATTAATCATTAAGTAAACATTTATTGTAAATTTGTGATGTACATATTATCCTTAACTCTTGGGATAGATGAGACAGTACCTACCTTAAAGGAGTTTTCAGTCTAAAGGGTGTGTCACTTATAATAAAATATGCCATTACAAAGGGGAGAGCTATCCTAGAGTGTGGTACTTAACTCTGTAACACAGTGCTGTTCAATGGGTAAACATAAGGTGCACAAGACAGTCCACTACAGATGGGATGGGGATGGCTTCCTAAAGAGAGTGACATTGTAGCTGAAGGTTAAGGACAATAGGAGGTTAGCCTGAGGACAGCAAGTAGTAGGAACATTTTTCAAGAGTCCAGAGCTTGAGAGCACATGACTGCTCGGGAGTGCTCTGTGTCACTCACTGTGCTGTGGCGTGGAGCAGTAGGGGATGAAACTGAAGAGGGGTACAAAAACTCTGTCATGAAAGATCTCTTAGGCAAAGCTAAGGAATTTGTATTTTATTCCCAAATGAAGAACTTTTAAAAGATTTTAAGTAGGAGAATGATATCAGATTTATTTTGTGTGTATGTGAAATATATCATACACATACAAGAGTCTATAAAACAAATACAGTTTAAGAAATAATTAGAAAGCAGACCTCACATACCCACCATTCATTTTAAGGACTAGACTCCTAGGAAGTTCCTGTATGCTCCTTTGAGGTCTTGTGCTTTTTCTTCTTTACTACAGGTAACCACTAACCACTACCCTGCCTTTCTCATAGTCATGCCTTGCTTTTCTCTGTAGGTTTTGCATTTTGTAATCCTAAAAATATATTCTTAGTCGTTAGCCTTTGCTAAACATTGTAAGATTCTTCCAGGTTAATGTATATAGTTTATTAATGTAAATTGTTGTATGGCATTTTACTCCATGAATCTACCAAATTTATTTATATATTCTACTTTTGATGGACATTTGGATTGTTTCTGTATTACATATGCATATATACAAATATGATATATATATATACACACAAACTTACATGTACATTTATATATGTAACCTGAGTTATTTATACATACACATTTATAATAAAGTTATTAACATATAATACTGTGTGTGTGTATAAATATAAATATATATATATATAATTGCTCATAGATTCTAGTATACATGTATAAGAGCTTCTTTGGGATAAATATCAAGAAAAAGAACTAGTGAATTTTAGGGTATGTGCACATTATGCTTTCCTAAATAATCCCAAAATATTTTTCCCAATTGGTTACATCAATTTATACTCCGATTAGCATATATGAGATGCTCTATATCCCCATCAACACTTGATTTATAAGTTCTTAAAGTTTTCTAATCAGGTGGGTATGTAATTGTACTCATGGAGGTATAAATTTGTATTTTGCTGATTACTAATGAAGAACATATTTTCATTTCTCATTGGCTACTTTATTTTCCTCTTTTGTGAAGTGCCTGCTCAAATCTTTATGAGATTTGTCTTTCAAAATAATATCATTTATTGAGTTCTTACTGTGTAATAGGTACTGTACTAAGGACTTTACAAACATTTAATCTTTTTATCATCCCTCTGACTTACTCATAAGAAAATTCAAGTTTGGAGTGGTTAAATATCTTGCTAACAATCACACTGCTAAGAAACAGTGGGCTTAGCATTCAAGCCCAGGTCTTTCTGACTACAGAATTCTTCAATTTCTTGGATAGTGTTTGGAAGGGGATTAGATTGGAGTCTGAGAGGACACTTAAGGTGCTATTGCACCAATCCAGTTAATAAATAAGAAGGGCATTAAACAAAGAACCACCAAAGGACATAAGCACAAAGCAACTAAACTCAGTAATGGATGCTATGGGTGAATAAGATGAAGGATTTAAAAAGTCTCAAGCTTAATATCTGTTGGCTAGGTCGATTAAAAATTAGTCATACAGTATATGTTTATATTCTAGGTATTGTGGTAGTTTTTAAGTTTAAGAACACATTTTATGATTCCATGATTAAATAAGCGATTGAATTTAGTTCATAGATTAATAAAGTTTAGGGTTTAAAGAGACCAGTGTTTATTTGGGTCAATTCTTCACTATTTTAAAATGGGGCTGGTGACCAAAGAGGTTGAGCAGCTTGTTCAAGGTCACATTGCTAAATCAGATTAAGAATAGATAACTAGGTCTGCAAAGAATGCAAATAAATATTTCCCTGATTTTTAAATTAATAAGTGAAAATACAATCAGTCTACTTAATCTCCTACATATTTTTCAAGTCAGTTCCCTTTGAAATAAATCTATTGTTACTGCCATAAATTAAGCTCTTATCAGGTTTATTTCTAGGCTATCATCTTGCCCTTGATTCTACCAATAAGCCACCAGATCTGATTTGAAGTTGTTGCTGTGCATTTGTAACTGCACTGCTTACTTTGACATACTCCATTGCCTGTGAAATATAGTCCCTTATCCTTAAAATATACCATATTCCCATCCACCCACAATTTAGGAACTGATGTTCTCTGGAATTGCCTGGGGGTACCAATGTGCTTCCGTCTCATCACACACACTCAAGTGTTTCTTATCTCTTGTCATTTACTTCACACTGTCTATTCTGTGTGTAATCACCCCACCCACCCTTTACTTGGTAAGTCATTAGTCATCTTTTAAGACCTTTGCAATTCAAAGAATGGTCTGGGGGCCAACAGCATGGGCATCATCTGGGAGCTTGATAGGAATGCAGCCTTTCAAGCCCCACTCAGATCTAGTGACTCAGAATCTTTCAAATGAGATTATCAGGTGATTTAAAGTTTGAGAGGTACTGCTTAGAGTCACTTTAGACTTCATCAGGCGTTACCTCCTTCTAGAAACATTTTCTGACTCCTTCCGTTAGGCATTCCTTGTTGGTGTTCTCAATGCAGCTCATGCATTTCTATCTCACTGCATTACCACAATGTTTTATTAACTGTTTGTGTGCCTGCCTCTCCCCGTTAGCCTGTGAGTAATTTGAGACAGATCTGAGTATCTTTAACTTTCCCATGCCTATCACAGTACCTGATAATTAGTAGTGCTGCATAAATGTTTGTTGAGTGATTGAGGAAAAAAGAAGTGCAAGAGATAGATATCTAGAAAGATAGACAGAGGCAGGAAAAAGAAAATCACAAGAAGAAAAAAACATAGCCAAAGGGACTTCATAGAGAAATAACTAGATTACAAACAAGGCACCAAAAATTGTACCTCTGGATATAATCTGGAAAGCAACCTGACGGAGAGTCTACCATCTTATTTAAATAGATTGGGTGATAAATGTGAATACTATTTGCCAGATCCCTCAGAAGCAAAGATTACCTTTATTTCTCATATAACAACAGTTTGTTATTGTTGTTGAGTAAATTTTGCCAAAATTTTTTTTATTTTTCTAAACAAAGTGTCCTTTTCTCCTTTTAACTAGTCAGAGACTGTTTGGAATATTGTGTGAAATAGGAAGGAGGATTCAGGTTTGATTTGAAATAGCACAGGAGACAGAAAACAAGAGACCTTTGACTACAGAGAAGATACCATACATTAAAAAAATCTTTTTTTATTATTAGAACTGTTTGTAAGTCTGTGCTTTTGGAAAAGTAGCAAATGTTGCAGCATTGCAAGTATTTAATCATCTTCATGGTTGACCAAATATTAAGAACTTCTTAGAGATGATACAGCTTTATGTGGGAGATTGAACTAAATGATCTTTAAGGTCTAAAATCTTTTTGAGTTATGAGTCTATA